TCCCATTAAAACAGTAAAACATGGGATTTTATTCGAATGGTAGATTTCACATTCCCGCTCCAGCTCAAAGGTACGTGTCTCCCTCAAAAAAAAATGTTTTGCCCTAGATTTAGTATATTATATGGTTGGGATTGCATAGGTATATATATATATGATGAAGCTCAAAGCTACCTTGCTGGCTCACTGCCTCCTTGCTAGCTCAAAGCTCAAAGCTACCTTGCTGGCTCAGTGCCACGTAGCTGGCTCAGTGCCACGTAGCATGCCACGTAGCTGGCTCAGCGCCTCGTAGCTGGCTCAGCGCCACGTAGCTGGCTCAATTTTTTTAGCGAAAAAAAAATAGAAAAAACAAACTCGCAGAAATTGAGCCGGCTACATGCCCTTGAGCCGGCTCGCCAATGCGTCATGAACCCGGCCTAATACATAGTTAGTATTCGTTTTGATGCTCTCATATTCGTCCGCCAGCTCAACGTGACGTAGCTGGCTCATTTTTTTTGGCGTTTTTGTTGTTTTTTCTTTGTTTTTTCGTTGAAAAAATTGAGCCAGCTCGATGCCATTGAGCTAGCTCGATGCCCCTGAGCTAGAGCGATGTGTTTGAGCGAGCTCGATGGTGCTGAGCCAGCTCGTTGCAGTTGAGCGAACTCGCAGAAACTTCCCAATGTGCTAAATTGCCAGGTTCAGTCCCCACTGATTACTTTAGTACTAGATATGGTACCTCTGAAAAAGCCCAAGGTGACTGTCAAAACATACCCCTGATGAAATTGAGCCGGCTACATGTTTTGAGCTAGCTCGAAAGAATGGAAGATTGTGGATTCCACCATTCAATCTATGATCAAAGGAAGTTTAGGGGGAGAAACTTCCGTGTTACGGACTTTTAGAATGTCAGGGAAAGAGTTAGTCAAAGAAAGCGTTAGCAAAGAAAGAGTTCGTCAGGGAAAGAGTTAGTCAAAGAAAGAGTTAGTCAAAGAAACAGTTAGCAAAGAAAGAGTTCGTCACGGAAAGAGTTCGTCAAAGAAAGAGTTAGTGAGGGAAAGAGTCAGTCAAAGAAAGAGTTAGCAAAGAAACAGTTAGTCAGGGAAAGAGTTAGTCAAAGAAAGAGTTAGTGAGGGAAAGAGTTAGTCACAGAAAGAGTTAGCAAAGAAAGAGTTCGTCAGGGAAAGAGTTAGTCAAAGAAAGAGTTATAGTCAAAGAAACAGTTAGTCAGGGAAAGAGTTAGTCAAAGAAAGAGTTAGTGAGGGAAAGAGTTAGTCAAAGAAAGAGTTAGCAAAGAAACAGTTAGTCAGGGAAAGAGTTAGTCAAAGAAAGAGTTAGTGAGGGAAAGAGTTAGTCAAAGAAAGAGTTAGTCAAAGAAAGAGTTAGTCAAAGAAAGAGTTAGTCAAAGAAAGAGTTAGTGAGGGAAAGAGTTGGTCAAAGAAACAGTTAGTCAGGGAAAGAGTTAGTCAAAGAAAGAGTTAGTCAAAGAAACAGTTAGTCAGGGAAAGAGTTAGTCAAAGAAAGAGTTAGTGAGGGAAAGAGTTAGTCAAAGAAATAGTTAGTGAGGGAAAGAGTTAGTCAAAGAAAGAGTTAGTGAGGGAAAGAGTTAGTCAAAGAAAGAGTTAGTCAGGATATATGAGGTAGTCAAAGAAAGAGTTAGCAAAGAAAGAGTGAGTCAAAGAAAGAGCAAAGAAAGAGTTAGCAAAGAAAGAGTTCGTTAGGGAACGAGTTAGTCAAAGAAATTGTTCCCGCAATGTAAATGGGATTGCAAGTGGTGCTGGTGGATGAGTTGCCGATGGAGTTTTGAAGGAAGTCTCGCACGAAATGCGTTTTTGAGAGATAGCAGATGCACGAAACCCTATGTTTTTCCATACAAAGTCCGTCCCTGAACCTCGATGATCTACCTCTGCGGTGCGACGGTTGCGAGACGGTCTCGTGTGTGGTCGGATCATGCTCGGATCATGGGCGGATCATTCTCGGATCGGTTCCGCATTGTAAACGGGGTGTCACCTGTTTTTCGTGCATGTGCGGTCGACAGAATTCCATTGTGATTTGCAACTGTAGGATCGTTCCCGCATTGTAAATGGGGTTGCAAGTGTTGCTGGTGGATGAGTTGCTGATGGAATTCCATTGTGATTTGCAACTCTAGGATCGTTCCCTCACTGTAAATGGGATTGCAAGTGGTGCTGGTGGAGGAGTTGCCGATGGAGTTTTGGAAGAAGTCTCGCACGAAATGCGTTTTTGAGAGATAGCAGATGCACGAAACCCTATGTTTTTCCATACAAAGTCCGTCCCCGAACCTCGATGATCTACCTCTGCGGTGCGACGGTTGCGAGACGGTCTCGTGTGTGGTCGGATCATGCTCGGATCATGGGCGGATCATTCTCGGATCGGTTCCGCATTGTAAATGGGGTGTCACCTGTTTTTCGTGCATGTGCGGTCGACAGAATTCCATTGTGATTTGCAACTGTAGGATCGTTCCCGCATTGTAAATGGGGTTGCAAGTGGTGCTGGTGGATGAGTTGCTGATGGAATTCCATTGTGATTTGCAACTCTATATAGGATCGTTCCCTCACTGTAAATGGGATTGCAAGTGGTGCTGGTGGAGGAGTTGCCGATGGAGTTTTGAAGGGAAGTCTCGCACGAAATGCGTTTTTGAGAGATAGCAGATGCACGAAAGCCTATGTTTTTCCCATACAAAGTCCGTCCCCGAACTTCGATGATCTACCTCTGCGGTGCGACGGTTGCGAGACGGTCTCGTGTGTGGTCGGATCATGGTCGGATATGCTCGGATCATTCTCGGATCGGTTCCGCATTGTAAATGGGGTGTCACCTGTGTTTCGTGCATTTGTGGTCGACAGAATTCCATTGTGATTTGCAACTGTAGGATCGTTCCCGCATTGTAAATGGGGTTGCAAGTGGTGCTGGTGGATGAGTTGCCGATGGAATTCCATGTGATTTGCAACTCTAGGATCGTTCCCTCACTGTAAATGGCATTGCAAGTGGTGCTGGTGGAGGAGTTGCCGATGGAATTCCATTGTGATTTGCAACTCTAGGATCGTTCCCTCACTGTAAATGGGATTGCAAGTGGTGCTGGTGGAGGAGTTGCCGATGGAATTCCATTGTGCTTTGCAACGGTAGGATCGTTCCCGCAATGTCTAGAAGGTTTCACATGCTTCGGTGGACGAGCTGAGGACGTAATACCATTGTGTTTTGCTAGGGATTGTTCCTGGATTCTTTCAGATTTTGCCTGCTTTCATTTTCTATTTCAATTCTTTATAAAAAACAATGCAAAAATCAACTTTTTCTGCTCTGGCGTCGAGATCCGGTTTTGGAGCTACAATTTCCGACGCCGTTGCCGCGTAGTTCTATTGTGTTTTGCAACTCAGTCTCTGCAGATCGCGTTGTAATGGCTGCGTCAAGGTTGCTTCGTGCTGTGGCTGCATTCGTAATACTATTGTCTTTTGCAGCTGGATCTCGTAAATCGTCTTGGAGTGGCTGCATGAAGGCTGCGACAGTGATTTGTCAGCAGATTTTCTCCATTTTGGCGCTAGCGATTTTCCTTCTAAAACTCCTTTTAAAAAGTGCTTCAAAATCGTCTTTTTTTCGCTCTGGCGTCGAGATCCGGTTTTGGAGCTACAATTTCTGACGCCGTTGCGCGTAGTTGTGTTTTGCAACTCAGTCTCTGCAGATCGCATTGTAATGGCTGCGTCAAGGTTGCTTCGTGCTGTGGCTGCATTTGTAATACTATTGTCTTTGCAGCTGGACTTCGTAAATCGTATTGGAGTGGCTGCATGAAGGCTGCCACAGTGATTTGTCAACAGATTTTCTCCATTTTGGCGCCAATGATTTTCCTTCTAAAAATCCTTTTAAAAGTGCTTCAAAATCGTCTTTTTTTTGCCTCTGGCGTCGAGATCCGGTTTTGGAGCTACAATTTCCGACGCCGTTGCGCGTAGTTCTATTGTGTTTTGCAACTCTCTCTGCAGATCGGCACTTAATGGCTGGCGTCAAGGTTGCGTCGTGCTGTGGGCTCATGCGCAATACTATTGTCTTTTGCAGCTGGATCTCGTAAATCGTCTTGGCAGTGGTTGGCATGAAAGGCTGCGAATGGATTTTGTTAGCAGATTTTCTCCATTTGGCACTAAGTTGTTTTTTGTTGCACTTAGGTTTAGAGCAGTGTGAATTGTGGGCGTAACGAGTGCAGTGTGAAGTGGTGAAGGGTGGAAGGAAGCATTGGGAATGAAAGTGTGAAGTGTGGACTGTGAAGTGTGAAGTGTGCAGTGTGAAGTGTGAAGTGTGAGGTTTGGAGTGTGAAGGAAGCAGTGAGAAGTGAGAAGGGTGGAGTGTGAAGTGTGGAGTGTGAAGTTTGAAGTTTGGAGTGCGAAGAGTGCAGTGTGCAGTGTGAGGTGTGGAGTGTCGAGGGAAGGACACGGTCGGGACAGGTTGTCTTTGAACTATAGGTCATTTATGTTTGGGAAACTTCCGCCGCCGGCTTGCCCGGGTCTATGTTATTTCCAGATATTTCCAGATATTTTCAGATATTTCCAGATATTTCCAGATATTTCAAGATATTTCAAAATATTTCCAGACATTTCAAGATATTTCCAGATATTTCCAGATATTTCCAAATATTTCCAGATATTTCCAGATATTTCCATGGTCCATGGTGGCAATAATAATCCATGGTGTTCACCTTCTATTGTGGACTTCGGGCGCCTTTTTTGTGGACATGAAGCGCTTTTCATGTGGACTTCAGATGCCTTCAAGGTGTTGATACCTCTGGAATAGGTTGAGGTTGATCTTTCCGAAGTTTAGAAAACACCTCAATAGGTAGTTCGTGAACCCAACCATATAGAGTTTATCAATTCTGTTCAATTTTTGTTGAGTATGCCAACATGGATCAACTATTGAATTTCTCAACAAAAGTAATTTCCATTTTGTCGCTAGATATTTCTTTACCATGAACATCCAGGTCATCCCAGGATAATCCCATTTTCCCATTTTATTCAATTTCTTTGCCGGATTCTCACCACCCAGGCCTCAGCCTCGCTGGCTTGATTCTCTTTGAACGCCAGCCTTGAGAAGTTTCAGCTGCAGCTTGGCTCGGAGTGGTAAGGCCAGAGATTCAGGGGTCAAATCTTGCAGAGTCTTCCAGGGTTTTCCAAATAATTTTGATAAGGATTTTTAATTTGCGGTATCTGGAAGTCCCTAGCTCGTCGCTAAGAATCTTTGGGCTACTGAGATCTACTGAGTATCCAAGACCCTGCCACCTCCTTCGACACCCGTGGAGTGACCGCCCCACTGGGATCACCGTCTCTTGCTGCCGCAACTGGATTTGCTCCTCCAGCAGATTCACCTGGTCACCCGATCCATTGGAATCCCCAATATTTGACGGGGGTGTACATATGTGTAATATACAGTGTGTATATACCAGTAGTACCGCACAAGGCGGTGGCAGAAGTTTCAAAAATAGGAAACCTATAGGAGAGATTGGCTATTGTGAATCAGGGATGGCAGAGCGAATCCACTGATGGACCGAAAGGTGCTTGAGGTCTCCTCTCTTTCTCTCTCTTTCTCTGACTATCTACTTACCTACCAGCCTATCTTCTATGTATCTATCTATCTATCGATCTATCTATCTCTCTCTCTCTTTCTCTCTTTCATCTCATTACCTATCTACCTATCTACCTATCTACCTATCTACCTATCTACCTATCTACCTATCTACCTATCTACCTATCTATCTATCTATCTATCTATCTCTCTCTCTCTCTCTCTCTCTTTCATCTGTCTATCTGTCTAGCTGTCTACCTGTCTATCTGTGGTGCAGTGTCATTCAGTGTGATGTAGTGTAGTGTAATGTAGTGAAGTGTAGTGGAAGGTAGCGCAGTGTAGTGTAATGTAGTGTAGTGGAGTGTAGCGTAGTGTAATGTAGTGTAGTGTAGTGAAAATTAGTGTAGTGGGGTGTAGTGGAGCGTAGTTGTGTAGTTGTAGTTGTGGTGTTGTGTAATGTAGTGTAGTGTAGTGGAGCGTAGTGTAGTGAAGCAAAGCGACATCTGAACCTCCAAAAGTGGTCCAAACCCCTGGTGTTTTGTACATTTTGACTTCGAAATGTGCTTCGCGACACAACGGCGTGCACTTTTTCGACATCTCAACTTCCAAAAGTGGTGCGAGAATGGTGTGTTTTGTACATTTTGACTTCGAAATGTGCTTCGCACCACAACGGCGTGCACTTTTTCGACATCTCAACTTCCAAAAGTCGTCCGACACTGAGGTGTTTTGTACATTTTGACTTGGAAACGTGCTTCGCGCCACAACGGCGTGCACTTTTTCGACATCTGAACTTCCAAAAGTCGTCCGACACTGAGGTGTTTTGTACATTTTGACTTCGAAATGTGCTTCGGGCCACAACGGCGTGCACTTTTTCGACATCTCAACTGCCAAAAGTCGTCCGACTCCGAGGTGTTTTCTACATTTTGACTTGGAAATGTGCTTCGCGCCACAACGGCGTGCACTTTTTCGACATCTCAACTTCCAAAAGTCGTCCGACACTGAGGTGCTTTGTACATGTTGACTTCGAAATGTGCTTCGCGCCACAACGGCGTGCACTTTTTCGACATCTCAACTTCCAAAAGTCGTCCGACACTGAGGTGTTTTGTACATTTTGACTTGGAAACGTGCTTCGCGCCACAACGGCCTGCACTTTTTCGACATCTCAACTGCCAAAAGTGGTCCGGAGCTGGTGTGCTTTGTACATTTTGACTTCGAAATGTGCTTCGCAACGGCGTGCACTTTTTCGACATCTCAACTTCCAAAAGTGGTGCGAGAATGGTGTGTTTTGTACAGTTTGACTTCGAAATGTGCTTCGCGCCACAACGGCGTGCAATTTTTCATCTCTCGTCTGGCCAGCTGGCTCTGCACTCGCCGCTTTAGCGAGCCTACTTTTTGACCCTCCGGAGCCACAAATCATTGGAAAAACACAGTGCTCCGCGACTTTCCTACCTTTTCGCGCATCTGCATCTTCTTTCTTCTGACTCTTCTCTCTTCTAGTCTTTCTCTTCTCTCTGCCTCTGCCCTGCTCTGCTTTTCATCTGTCCATACTGTCGGAAGTTTGACTTCTAAACTTCCTTCGATAACGATATATTATTTCATCTATTGTATATGCATATAAATATATATATATTATTATTGTTATTATATGTTATTATTATTGTTATTATTATTAATTATACAGTATATTATGCATAAAATGTATTATATACATATTAAATATTATAAGTTCTATATTGTATTGAACAAAATATGTGTTTTATATATATATATATCAAATATTATATATTATACATAATATACATTTTTTGTTAAATATTGAATATTAAGTATTATATATTGAATAAAAAACTATAAATTAAATATTATGTAGTATTTATGAGATATTATATTTTATAACTAAATTTTTATATATTTCATTTACGTATACATATACATATACAAATACAAAATACATATATATATATATACATAAACATATACGTATTCGTATACATATACACATACGTATACGTATACGCGTATACACATTAATTTATAGGTATACATGTTTATATATATATATATGCATAATCACATATACATTCATATTTACATTCATATTTGGCAGACAGCCAAGAGGGCTGCTTGGAAAGAACACCATCTGCTGTTTTTGCGTAGCAAAGTTGGGTCAGAGAAAAAGGTGTCTCCTTCAAGTATACATACTTCTGTTCTGCTGCAGCTTCCACTCTGTTCCTACTTGTGTTCTATCCCTACTTGTGTAATGTCACTGGCTATAGCTTGACTTCACTCACTACATGTGTGATCTGTCTGCACATGTCGTTCTTGTGTTCTACTACATATGCCATATATGAAAGTCTTACTTGTGATCAAAAGCAGAGCCATAAATTCTAGCTTGGGATTCTACTTGTGTAAACTCATGAACTATAACTATAACTTGACTTCACTCACTACTTGTGCAATCTTTCTGCACATGTCGTTCTTGTGTTCTGCTACATATGCCATATATGAAAGTTTTACTTGTGATCAGACACAGGGCCATAAGTTCAAGCTTGAGATTTTACTTGCGTCACAGAACAAATTACTTCCCAAGTTTCAGAAAGAAAGAAAACATTAAGAAAAAATGAAAAATATTTTTAGAAATCAAAAAAAAAGGAGAAAAACAAAAAAACAGGAAAAATTGTATAACGCACTTTTGATGCACCTTTGATGCTGTTTTGATGCGGTTTCTTTTTTCCCCAAAAAATACTTTTTTAAATATTTACTAGACAAAGTAAAGTAATTTGAGCTACTAAAGTAAATTCCTGGAAAAACAAAATTTACTAGATTTGCAGGGTCAGGGCATAGATCCACCAATGTCATGCAATTTGCTGGGATGTTGGTTTATCCTGGTTTATCTATCGATTTCATGGGGATCTTACCACCAAATGCGGCACATCAAAGTTTGTGTTATGATTTTGGAAGCTCAACATCCATCAATGCGGTCTACTTTAACGGAGGAAACCAATGGATGGGGAGTGTTCCCGGCATTTCCCAATTCTCGAGCATACCCAGTTGGGTTCAAATTCGGGTGATCCAAAATTCCATGCGTTCCTGGGAGTGTGACCCTCAAACCAAGATGAAAACGCGACCGCCGAATTGAGCCTGTCCTGTATGCAGAGTCTGGTGACTAGGGTTGGTATGCATACCCGGCTGCCTCCCTGCATGAAACAACCGAAAGGATCCAAGAGGTACGACTCCTGTGCATCCAAGGAGGGTCTGTATTGACGAGCCTATTCCTAGCAACTACTGAATACAGTATGATCGGATGAAAAACGACTAAAAACGGCTACCAGGGCGGTTCAGCTGGGCTCCCCAACACTGGGCCCTTGCTGTGTCTGTCGATGCGGTGCCTTTGCGGATAATGACCTCAGTTCCAATGCCACTGTGCAAAATCACACATTTTTATCCTTCCTCTGTTCCGAATTCGCTGACATATGGATACATATTGGGCATAATTCTCTGGCGCCGGTGATTCTCCATCACATCCACAATGGCTGTGCTGGGGCAGCCCCACCCGCGGAGTTCGGAGATTGATTGCAACTTCTTCGAAGCCTGGCTGAAGGTCGCCAATCAGTTTGATCGGCCGATACAACAAAAAATCCTACGGGTATGGTACGAGTAGTAAAGCGTTGAAACATGAAAACAAAAAAGTATTGCCTGAACAAAGATTATACATGTTGTCGTTCGTGGCATTACTAGTTTGTTGATCTCTTTTTGCGATATCGGTCAGAACAAGTAGTTCTCGACCAACATGCATACTTTTGCAGTTTTCCTATGCGTCCCTGTTTTCATGTCATGGTGCGTTCCCATGTCACACGTACAACCCTCTTGCAGCTATACTTTCTACTATGGGCCATCATATTTGATAGAACGGAATGATGCAGTGACAAGTGGCCACAAATCGGAGGGCCAACCACCACCAACCCTCCATGCAATTACATCGAAATACGGAAGTCTGCCAGCCATGTTAGCTGGCCAATCGGCTTTGAAGTGTCACTGGCAGACTCTCTGGCTCACCACATGCTCAGGTTGACCACGAATCCTGATGGGGATGGCGGCTCTGTTGATGCTAAAGCAGCCTGCAGAATTTGCTGATGTCGTGCTTTACCAGCTCAAGGCCGCCCTGAAAGTCGTTGACCCCCTCGGTATTTGGGGCTTGTTCTGCCGTCTCCAGCCTTGGAGTTCTGTCAGTTCCAGGGGTTCTTGGAGTTCTGGCGGAGTCCGCCACCCCTTGTTGAAAGAGTGATGGGGTCAGCACCTCCGACGGTGGAATGGCGGTCGCAGCTGCAGGTTCTTCAACTTCCTGTGCGCCTGCGTTGGTACCACCTGCATGACTGGTGCGAGTCCGCATCGCAATCTTCAAGATTCAACAGGAGATCCAATGCAAAAAGGCCTTTATGAGGATGGACCAAGCTGAAGCCAGGGCCAGAAGCTTGCAAGCAACGAAGTAGAAGCACAGCATCACGTCATCGGAAGGAACTTTGACATCCGAACAACGTAGTCCGCACCTCAAGTGGTTTGCCCATCGGGTGTCCAGCACCTGCCTCCAGTCCGTCGTTTCACAGAGACCTTCTAACTCTTCGTGGTATTGTCTGATGGCCTGTTGAAATCCTGGCTGATCCTTGCTGAGGATGGACAGCAGGTAGCAGCTTGAGGCAAAGGCCGCACCACTGGCCAACCCGTGCCAAAAAACGCTTCAAAGGACATTCCTGTGAAGCTTTTGCCACGGACATCGCGTTAACTTCGGCCTAACTTCGGCCATGAACTCCCATTGAACTCTATAACAGGTACGGTGTCCTTGGTGAATTTATTTGCAGAGTTTCGGTTCTGAAAAAGTGGTTGCTATCGATCACAATTACGGTGCCAATGACCCAATTGGCGTCCTTCTAACATGATAGTTTTCACTATGACTATGATTTTTTAATAAGCCTGATTTCAAAATCAAAATGGCACAAAGTCCAATAGACAGCAATGCCTATTTTTATCTGCCAAAGAAGCACCACAACAAAATTCTAACAATCACAGAGAGGCCAGCGCCGCAATATTCATACGGCAAGCAATCAGAACTCTCTAAGACCCACTGCGGCTAGCAACATAGACTCTCTGCGGCGATTTCACGTTCTGCCGAGAAACAACCAAGGCTACAAGGGGCATCACCCATGTTGCAATCTTCAAGTCAGGCTCCAGAGTTCCATGACTTCTGGTAGAAAATGTCCGCATGGATTGCTCAACAGAAACAAGATCTTTTAGCATGTCTGCTTAACACCAGCACCACCAGAGCTGTTCTAGCACAGGGTCTCATCTCAGTCTCATTCACTAGACAGGAAGATTAGAAAGTGGGACAACTTGTTGCAACAGTAAAGTACAGTGTAGCTGCCGCCAGCATGTGTAGCACTACTTTGGTTTCAGAATGTGTCAGGATTTCAAGAGATTCCAAGAGTATCAACTCTGCTCCTGTACAGTTGCTTTGGGCCGACTGCTCTGAATACAGGCTTGCAACATCTTGCAACTATCACGTGTAGCCCGCACAGCTCTACAAGGCCCTTGGTATACATTAGCCTCGCTTTAATGAAGTCGTGCTGTATCCGAACTAAAATGCCTAGAATGAGAGTTTCTTTCAGAACTTTTGCAGTTCATGATCAATCCGACAAAGTCTTAAAAAAACGCAACAACAAACTGCTGCGAAAGAGCAACCGAGAGAAACCATCTAAAATCCCAAGCACTTGGCGATACGTGTCGGCCTTCTTCTCTTCCTGCACAACAGCTGTGATCCAATGAATACCGGAACAACTATGAACGATGTTAAAGCGGTGTCTGTAGTCATAGTCACTTCTGAAATCTGTGAATGGTAACCAAATGTAACCAATGGTATCTGGCGGAATCTGGCCGTCCAAAGATGGCCACGCCTGAGGAGCCAGAGTCATGGCCCGCGCATCTTTCAAGCGCTGCACTCTGCTGCGTGCCAGAACACCACCTGGGTATCTCTACCTAACATCATCTATTGAATCTATTGACTATAACAAATAAGCGTTGTTAATACGGACATTAATTCTTGATAAGTTGGCACGATGTTTGTGAGGCTCCAACGCTCCAATGCCTGCAATTTGATGGCTGCCCTCTCACGCTCCTGTCAGGTGATAGAAAAAAGTCAAAATGCCTCAGAGCAACAGGTCACCTCAATCCACCTGAGATTTCTTTCACAGCAAACATGATTCTATGATATTCTATAAAGTCTCAACTTTCAACCTGCATCATTTTTCGGCACAGCAAGACCGGCCAAACGAGTAACGCAGGAATACACCAAAAAAAACTCTAATTTTGAAGCTTATATGTCTGATGTTGAAACTCATGTTCCCCCATTGTGGTTATGTATTGGTATGTATTGGTATTGGTTTAGTATTCCTGGAGCAGCCCTGAAACTTGAGTTATAGTTTCTTTCCAGCAGCGGTCCTCTCTCTTTGCTGGCGCTAGAGGCTGTTTGATGCGTTGGTAGCTCACATCCTGCAAGGGTGCGCAAGTCAGTAGGCAAGAAACAAAACCGGCACAAGGTGGTTTCAACATCTGCAACAAAGAAGTCAGATTGGGGCCTTTGGAGCTTCAGATGCACCACTGGCACGAGTGGCACGAAGGGTCGCCATCTTCGAACGGGCCATGATGCCACCTCAAGGTACTGTTCGCAGGTCCAGCGGCACAAAACGCGTCAGAACTTTTCAACATGAAAGGAAAGGTCTCATGATCAGTTAAAGGCTGCGATAAAGGGATTCACATTATGTAACTCATTCTGGCACGAACGCATGTGGCTATGGATTAAAACCATGGTACCCTGCAGGCCCCTGGTGAACATCAAAAACAATAGCAATTGGATGTCCATCCCTCCAAGTATATTGGGTTTATTAGCTATGATTAGGTGTTCATTCATCCCTCTCAGTTTGTCACGCTGTCGCGACTGCAACTTGGTAGCAGCAGCATCTTTGGCCTCGGTATGTCCATGAGTTGCAGGTGCCGAAACCATGGTGCAGAAGGCTTTGGCAGCAGGCTTACATCCCCGTCCTATGTCTATTGCATTCATCTTGCATTTGATTCCCTTCATAAAACTCAACTGCAGGTGCTGCAGTGTTCCAAAATCAGACTTTGGACAAGAAGACCACGCCACTCTCCAACAACTTCTCTAAGACTCTGAGGGCAACATATGCAACGACTGAGCTGCCTGACTGCTCTGCCAGATGGCGGTCGACTGCGTTTGACCTGAAATGAAGGTCATCGAAGAGCAGCTGCCAACTCCAAACCTTTTCAGTATCTTTCAGCATCTTTCAGCATCTTTCAGGATATGTAAAGCTATGTAAAGCTGCGCAAAGCTGTGCAAAGCTGTGCGCTAGGCGCCGGACCATGGCTGAAAAGTCTGCCTTTGCTTCAGTTATTTCAGTGTTGGTTTCCAGGCCTGGCTCCAGCACAGTGCCTCTCCATGTCATGACACTATAGTATTGTGCTCAAGGTTCTGCAGCCGAGCCAATGGTGAAATTAATGACAATAATATACAATAATGACAAAATATGAGAAAGATGGAGAGAGGTATATATACAGAATTATACAGAGCTGATCATGGCACAACGGAATACAACGGATAAAGGGCAGCTACACTGCACCTCTGCAGGCCTTACTCTTATTGAATATTCACTGCGGTTCCATGCTGCAGCCCAAAACCATAGAAGCACTATGGGGAGCAGAGTGTGATCAAGCGTCAATATCATAAATCATAACATCCAGCGGCCAGCGCCAGAAGCACTTGCACTAGTGCCACAATGGATTGTCCTACATACATTCGAATCATTTCGAATCCATGAAATGAAGCTGAGGATAGGAAAAGATGTAGCAAATCAGATCATGCACATGATAGGACCGATAGGATTCATAGGCGCACCTTCATACGCAATGACTTGAAATATCTTGAACTCATGAGCATGTTTCGGGTCATTTGGGGCCACCCCAAACCACCATGATCAGTCGATATCAGTCGTTATCCAGCCTGCCCCTTCATCCATGGCAGTTGCTTCGTCATTCGGGGCATCCAACAGCTCAAGGGCGTTCCTAGGTGGCTCTCTTTGATCAGCGCCATGTGGTGGATCCCTCAACATTTTGATGTTGCAGGCATTGCAGGCATCAAAGTGGGGAGCCAAACCTTGTTCTATTGCCATACAGACCCATACAGTATAAACGTGTAATTATAAAGCATACTTTCCAAGGGTCAGACGCAGAACGGGGCCAATAAATATCCCTTCCCCCTAATACTAAACCCCCCCCCCCCTCCCCCCCCCCCTAATACAAAACACGGCAGGTAGTTTTTAGTATTAGGGGGGTATTTATTATTAGGCAATTAAAATATTGCCAAAAATGGCAGTTCGAAGCTTACCCCTAATACTAAATTAAAACCCTTAATACTAAAAACTATTTTTTCCGATCTCAAAATCAATTAAATTTCTTTATATCACGCAATTAAAATATTGCCAAAAATGGCAGTTCGAAGCTTACCCCTAATACTAAATTAAAACCCTTAATACTAAAAACTATTTTTTCCGATCTCAAAATCAATTAAATTTCTTTATATAACGCAATTAAAATATTGCCAAACATGGCAGTTCGAAGCTTACCCCTAATACTAAATTAAAACCCTTAATACTAAAAACTATTTTTTCCGATCTCAATATCAATTAAATTTCCTTATATAACGCAATTAAAATATTGCCAAAAATGGCAGTTCGAAGCTTACCCCTAATACTAAATTAAAACCCTTAATACTAAAAACTATTTTTTCCGATCTCAAAATCAATTAAATTTCCTTATATAACGCAAATAAAATATTGCCAAAAATGGCAGTTCGAAGCTTACCCCTAATTGCTAGAGTAGCCAGGCAGCTTGGAGTGAGGGATTGGGACTAGGCCCCCCTAATACTAAACACCCCGGGGTGAACTAGTTTTTAGTATTAGGGGGAGAACCCACAAATGGTAGGTTGATTTTTAAATTGTTTTTTAAAGGGGATCAATTAAAAGTCAAATTGGCCAAACTGAAATTTTCGGAAATTGGAGATGGATGCCTGTTTTTAGTATTAGGGGGACGTTTAGTATTAGGAGGAAGGGATTAGAAGGAAACTGGCAAAACCTGATCAAGTCCTCTCCTGAAGGGGTCCTAAAGAATAGGTACCTGGATGTATACCTGGCCATGTGAGGTTTCTGAGGATTCCGTACCGTTCCGAAAGAAGCCATTGGACATTGTCTATCACTGCAATATGCACGTTGGGGGGTAGGTCCAGGGTAGGCGGTGCCAATATGGTCCGAGGCTCGAGGCAGCAACATCTTTGGCTGCCTCAGAAGTAGTGCGTTCTGCTATTTGGGTGTCCTGCGCCGTCAAACCATCTACAGTGAATACAGTAACTGGTCTATCAACGACGACCCCCACTACTGACATGGTCTACTGATTGCTGTTTTTTTTAAACCACCAAAATGCCTTGGTGCTTTGTCAGAATCCAAGTGGTTGTTTCTAATTGTTACATGTTGTTTCATGCTTTCAATATCTTTCAATGTTCAATCCAATTGCTCCCCTTCCATCCCCTTCCCATCCAAATCTCCTCCAGCTCTGCACCAGTGTGCTGTTGGGCGACCGAATCTGCCTGCGCAGATTCGGGGATGGTGGCGGCGGTGGCAGCGGCAGTAGCGCTTTGCTCAGCTTTTGCCAAGGCTTGGTGCTCCTTCTCAATCCTCGGAACACATTTCCGGCATTGTTCCGGCATTGGCAACTCAGCAACTCTATCGAATCTAACTCTACTGAAAAGGGATCCGATCATATCCTATCATCAAGTTTCATCACTTTTATAGTTTACATGGTGAAAATGTTGACATCTCTGACTGGTGAAAGAATATAACCAGCATCTCTGGCATCTCAAATACAAGTCAGGCGACTCAACAGGCACACCTTCAACCTCTTCCGAGCTCATCGCCTGAAAGATCTGAAAGTATAGCCAGCTCCCGCAGCGCAAAGATTCCCGCACTTCCATATTTGGGGATAGGATGGGATAGGTTTCGGATACGTTCTATAAAACCTACGGTACCATGCGTCAATTTGGGTGATCGCTGATCAACATCCATTTAGCAGATTTCAATATTCACCAGCGAACCAGAGTTTTGACACATCGCCAATTTTTCGACCCGGCAGCTGCTGATGCCTTCAACTCCAAAGTGTAAGTGTTCAGCTCGGACTCTGCTAGCTGCAACACGCCCTGAGCCCAAAATGTGGTTCAACATGGTTCAACCGCATTCAACACCATTCTTACCACACATCAAGGTCATACAAAATTCTTTCTGAAGTCTACCCCTGCTTCTGCGCCCAAATGCAACAAAGACTGCAAGACTGCAAAAATCGCACGGGGAAAATTAGAGTCAAACATCAAACAGAAAAGCATAAAAAGCTGCACCCTTCCATTTGCCCACCTCGGAGTTGGCGGCGCTCTCTTCACAGGCTGAGAGAGCAACTTGCCGGTGAGACAACACCTCCTGCAGTGCTGCAGCCAACACGCGGGTCAAACGTCCAAAGCTACATCCAAAGCACATCAACTGCAAAATCTGCAAAAAATCAAATAGCCAGCGAATCAGCCAGCTAAGCAGGGCAGTTCCACTCGCCCAACAGAATTTCAACCAAACGACAGATTCGGTCATCTGGTCCTGTGCTTGCTTCAGCTCTTCCTGCAGCTCTCACAAAATACTAGAAGTTACTAGAAGAAGTATATCCAAACGATTGCAGCTTGCTGAAACAATTCAGATCTGCAGATTTGTTCCCACTTCACCACTCGGTACCCCTTGTCACTTTGCGCACCTGCAACTTGACCATGCTCTTTTCACAGGCTGAGACAGCAGCTTGCCGCTGAGAAAACATCTCCTGCTTGGAGCAGAGGAGGGCAACTGACAAGTTGACTATCCAGAAGACGCACCCTCACGTCTTGACTAAAAATTGCCGAACAAAATGCATGACACGAGAACGGCAAAAATACAAGCAGGTGGTGGCATCAGCAAAAATATACAATTCACATATAGAACAGTCCCGAAACAAATTGAAGGTGCCAGTGGGCAGTAAGATTGCTCTGCATGGAAATGGTGATCGAAATGGTGCTCTTTTGCAAATTGTGACATGAATGTTCTATCTGCATGGGGTCCGCAAAAAATGCTCTATATACACATCTGAATCTGCAGATTAAAATGGAAAGTTCGGACACGAGCACATCCAACTGCCACAAGCATGCTCTTTGTACCACCCTTCCGTTGGGACACCTCAGAGTTGGCGACGCTCTCTTCACGGGCTGAGAGAGCTGCTTGTCGTTGAGACAACACCTCCTTCACGAGGACGATATCCAAGGCACTGCAAACCACACGAGCAAAATTGTCAGCCAGTCATCAGCCAGTCATCAGCCAGTCAGACCGCCATGCCACTCAATCAGTGCTGCTCCTGTGCTTGCCCCAGCTCCTCTCGCAAACCGGATGAGGAAGCCTGGCAAAGACGGGTTCCTACACATCCTGAACGAATCGAAGTGGGATTCCAATATGATCAACATGGATCAATATGGGTCTTGTATGGTACTGTAGTATAACCCCCTATAATCATCCAGTGGTTTTGAATACTCCCACGCTGCCATGGATCTGTCATGATCTGTCCGGTTTTTCCACTACCGATCTCAGCAGCATTGGATGGTTCAAATGTTGTCACAGCCTTGCCTCAGTCTGTGCAACAGCTCGGGATTCCTGTTGGCTCTCCACCATAGGACTGCGGTCACCTCACAGGATTTTCTGTTCAAGAAGGCTTGCGCTCTTTCAGTGGTTTCAAGTGTTGGTTCTGGGACATGTCAGTCAATGTTTGAACATATTTGAACATGTTTGAACTTAGATTAGATAATTCTAAAGTTCTAAAGCATCTCCTGATTTAGGTGCAAAGCTTTACGGATTTGGAGCGGCCGTTTGCTTGGATCGTAGTTGCAGTCTTGAGTTCCAATGTGAGCAATTGATGCGCTGAGATGTAAGAAAAAGTGGAATTGCCTTGGCATCCCTGACAAATCTTCGGCAGATATGGCTTGGAAAATGGTGCCAACCGCATCAGAAGCATGGCTACACACAAAATTTCTTTTGATTTTTGCAACTGCGTTTACCTCTTTTGTTTCTCTTTTCTGGAAACGGTAACATGACCCTACCAACCCCAGATGATCATCCGGCAATCCCCTGCCTTGCACCACGGGTGCAGCTTCATTCAGGACATGCAACTGCTGAAGGGCTTTCCTTGGCCACAAACAGTACGAAGTGATCCTTCGTTTGTGGAGCTACGCTGTAATTCTTCATGGTTCAGGAGATATATACGTGATTATACGTGTCTCCTTCAGCACCCGTTGCAATGTAGAATAGCACATGAATAGCACATGAATAGCACATGAATAGCACATGAATAGCACATGAATAGCACATGAATAGCACGTGAATAGCACATGAATAGCACATGAATAGCACATGAATAGCACATGAATAGCACATGAATAGCACATGAATAGCACATGAATAGCACATGAATAGCACATGAATAGCACATGAATAGCACATGAACACAAGATATTTACAAGATTGCGCAATTCTTGGACGTCCAGTAAAGTGTTTGGAGCTGTGAGTATTGCTCCTTCGAAAGATATATAATAATGCACCGCACTTCCGATTTGACAAATGGCACTGTCAGTGTCAACTGATATCCGTTCCGTACAGTTTATCTCAGTTGATTCCATTGGTCCGAGTCTCTTGGCAGCAACACCTTCGGCTACTGCCTCGGTAGTAGCCCTTTCTGCCGCAGTTCGGTTGTCCTGCACAGTCAAACCATCTATATACAGTGCTACAGTTTCTGGATGTTTCTGGTCTATCAATGACGACCCCACTGAGATGGCACGGTTGATATATCCATAGATTCCATAGATGTGGCATCCATAGATATCTTCCAAATCCTCCAGGGACTCCACATCCCATCCCCATCCAAATGTCCTCCAGCGATGCACTCACCTCTGAGATCTGCTTCCCAATGGTGGCCCGTTGGCTGATGGCGTCCGCCTTGTGCGTAGCTAGCTGCTCCTTTGATCTACTTTGAAGGTAAAAATTGACCCCAAGAAACAAACCAAACAAACGGTTGAATACGATTGATGGATCTGCCTTAACTGTTCCACCTCCAACCACCTTGTCACTTTAGTATCCCCAAAAATAAATCATCATCAATTGCGATATGTTCCAAACAAATCACTCGAAAATATCTGAGATGATGGCAGTGCCCTGCTCAGCTCTGGCGAAGGCTTGCTTTTTCTTCTCAATCCTTGGTAAATGGGATCTGCATATATTGCATATATCTGCACAAAGGATTTATTCATATCTATTCATGCTCTTGCGATGCTTTCCCACGGGCACCCGAGCTCAACCTGCAGACTATCAACATCTTCAGAGCTCATTGCCTCAAGGCATGCAGGGAGTTCAAAGATTTCTGGTGTTCCAAATTTGTTTTCCGAACTAACCGATTTAAAATGATTTAAACCTGTCAACTCATCACCTGCAAGTTGTTCACATTTCGTCAGATCTCGGGCCTTCAACTCCTGGGTGCAGCTGTCGAGCTCGGACTCTGCTAGTTGCAACACGCCCTCAGCGTAACCAGAATCTTGAACAAATTGGCGCATGTTGAATCAAGGCGTCACGGTACAGCAAATTGCCATGACAGTTTCAAGTTTCAAGCATGAAAACATATATAATATCATATAATATATAATATATCATTAAAATACAGGATTGCAACCGGTTGCATGATTGATGCATGATTGCTGCTGCAGTTTGCTGAGCAGGGGGATCCTTCCGGACGTTTGCTGGAACCACACATTCTCTCCTACATTTTGTTTACTGTTCTGATTTCTAAATCTACCATAATCTACCTACTGTCCCACAGAACCAAACTCAAATTTCAAGTAAAAATGTCATTTGTCCGCGTGCCTCAGAGTTGGAAACACTCTCTTCACAGGCTGAGAGAGCAGTGTGTCGTTGAGACAACACCTCCTGCATTAAGCGGGCCAAATATCCAAAGATATCCAAGGCACAACTGCAAACCATCAACTAGTTAGCTAGCCAGCCAGCCCGAGCAAACAAAGTCTCCAACCAAACTTAGATCGATAGATGAACAAAAAATCAGAAGACCCATCTTGGGGGATCATGGGATAGCATGGGCATCAAATGGCATTATTGGCATTATATGGCATTATATGGCATTAAATGTTATCAATCATCAATCTGGCCTATTGATCCAAAGGGTATCATGGAGCAATCTGAACTTCTGCCGCTGAAGGCACAGGTCCTGCGCTTGCTCCAGCTCCTCTCGCAAGCTGGATGAGCATGCCTGACGTCTCGTACGGGAGAAAGGAAACGGAAAGGAACATGAGGAGATTCTGTGAATACCTTGGAAGACAAACGACAATGAAACTTCATGTGAAGTGACTGCGCGGTGAAAAGATTCTGTGAGCATTTGCAAAAGCCTTTCACGAGCTCTCTTGGCTACGTTATTGTTTTCACTACCCTAAAAACATCGCAAAACCAACCTCCCCCTATTTTGGACTTGTAAGCCTTCACCTTAATGGATCAAACATTCCAAGCAGGAGTGGTGATTGCTGCTTTTATACTTGATCCTTTCGTTAACCTAGAAAATAGTTGAACCTGAGAAGGGGTGGAACGAAAGCCAGCGCATGCTTTTTGACTCGCGCGGGGGCGCGTGAAACTCCACCTCATCCATATGGCATGGCTCAAACATGAAGCGCCCCAACATCAACAATTGCTATCGGGTCATAATTTTCCAATCCTTAAATGGTAAACTCCACGATTTTGTAACTTCTATATCCAAATATGTTTCCTACAATGTACTGCGGCAGTGTGAAAAGTTCTATCTCAAGTTCCGTAAATCCGCCTTTGGTTGCTCATTTATCTTAAAACAGCGCAAGTTTGCTCCCACCTATTGTAGATAAATAATACCCGCTTTTTTGTGTGAACAGTGGTCATGTGACCTCTCACAGTCTAAATTGTTTTCTCCCCAGAATCGTGGTCCATGCTTCTCCGCGAAGTTCCGCAACATTTTGGCCGTACGGTGAGAAATCAAAACATAGCTCTACTCGCAAAATGGGCAGTGCAAACCCAAGACAATATTATAACATACGTAAGAAAGGGTATAAGAACGAATGAAAATCGAGGAAAACAATGCAAAACCCACGGGAAATATAGAACAGTGGCGAACATGCAGTCCAAATCAAAAGTATATATATTTAGGCCATTTACAGACCTGGGTACCCCCTCCCACCCCCCAAGGGTCTGGAAAATAGGTATTTTACAGGAAATGTCGCGGAATAGCATCATCCCTGAAATCGATAGAGATAATTGTTTGGCATCCCGGAAAATCTTCTCAGCTATCACACTCGCCAAACATCCCTTTTAAAAGGCATTGCCATTAGAAGATTCAAATTCTTTCTCGATGTTTTTAGTACAAGATTCACTTTTAGTTCTGTTTCAGCCTTCTCAGTACGGCCTCTTACAATGATATTACAGCATTTGTCTCCTAACCTAGGTGGCTCCTGGGCGCAATCTTCATTCCAATGCTTTGTGACAGTAACCAGAGGCCTGGAGCCTATGCATCACTTGACAGTCGACTCAGTTCTAAACCGGAAAGACTATTCCTTCCGTTTACCAGTAGATCGTTTTTGTAGTTCTTATCACAAAACTACCAGAATCAGGGAGGCACCAAAAAAACGTCAAACAGCTTTAAGCATTATAAATACTCTAATCTGCAGATTGTATTTATTTTTCTTACTCTGTGAACGAAATCACACTTTTCTAACTTCACACACATTACCATGAAACCGATTTTCCCATGCAACTCCTAAAATCGTACAACTCATACATCTTTTTTCCGATACCATCCGCATCTTGCTCCAAGGTTTCATGGCGATGTCTTGCACGCGAGTCAGCCACTATTTCCTATCACCAAACTACATTGCTCATCATCTAACATTATCTACAGAAACCAAATCGGATTTCCTGCTCAACGTTTCCGCTCGTTGACATTGTCTTGGTTTTCACTATATTTTTAAAGCATGTTTAGTTACCAGTAGTACCCGCACGAGGCGGGGCGTAAGTTGCCTTAAAGATATATATAAGACCTTTCTCATCTATAGAACTTGCCTGCGCCGTGCGCCAGCCAAGCCGGTGCGTGCGTGCACTCTGCGAAACTGATGTCTTGTTTCCCATGTCACATTTGAAGCTCCACTTCGCACTTCGCACTTCTCACTGCAGTCTTCACACTCTACACTACACACTTCACACTCCACACTTCACACTGCACTCTTAAGACTCCACACTTCACACTTCACACTCCACACTTCACACTCCGCACTTCACACGTCACACTGCACTCTTCGCACTCCAAACTTCACACTTCACAGTCCACACTTGACACTTCACAGTCCACACTTCTCACTTCTCACTGCTTTCTTCACACTCCAAACTTCACACTTCACACTTCACACTGCACCCTTCACGCCCCACACTTCACACTGCACTCTTCACACTCCACACTTCATCTCATCCAAGCCCTTCTCACCTTATCCCAGCTCATCTCTTCTCATCTCATCTCTTCTCATATGTCATGTAAGCTTTCATGAATCACTTCCCAGTACTACTAATCACTGTCGCAGCCTTGATGCACCCACTCCAATACGATTTACGATCTTCAGCTGCAAAAGACAATAGTATTACGCATGCAGCCGCTGCGCCAAGCAACCCTGACGCAGCCATCCCAATGCGATCTGCAAAGACTGAGTTGCAAAACACAAAAGAACTACGCGCAACGGCGTCGGAAATTGCAGCTCCAAAACCGGATCTCGACGCCAAAGCGACAAAAAGACGATTTTGAAGCACTTTTTAAAAGGAATTTTTAAAGGAAAATTATTAGCGCCAAAATTGAGAAAATCTGCTGACAAATCACTGTCGCAGCCTTGATGCAGCCATTCCAATACGATTTACGATCTTCAGCTGCAAAAGACAATAGTATTACGCATGCAGCCGCTGCGCCAAGCAACCCTGACGCAGCCATCCCAATGCGATCTGCAAAGACTGAGTTGCAAAACACAAAAGAACTACGCGCAACGGCGTCGGAAATTGCAGCTCCAAAACCGGATCTCGACGCCAAAGCGAAAAAAGACGATTTTGAAGCACTTTTTATTTTTAAAGGAAAATTATTAGCGCCAAATTTGCGAAAATCTGCTGACAAATCACTGTCGCAGCCTTGATGCAGCCATTCCAATACGATTTACGATCTTCAGCTGCAAAAGGCAATAGTATTACGCATGCAGCCGCTGCGCCAAGCAACCCTGACGCAGCCATCCCAATGCGATCTGCAAAGACTGAGTTGCAAAACACAAAAGAACTACGCGCAACGGCGTCGGAAATTGCAGCTCCAAAACCGGATCTCGACGCCAAAGCGGAAAAAAGACGATTTTGAAGCACTGTTTAAAAGGATTTTTAAAAGGAAAATTATAAGCGCCAAAGTTGAAAAAATCTGCTGACAAATCACTATCGCAGCGTGGATGCAGCCATTCCAATACGATTTACGATGCTCAGCTGCAAAAGGCAATAGTATTACGCATACAGCCACTTTACACGGAAAAACACAAGGTTTCGTGCTCCGGCTTCCTCCCCAAAACATAGCCCATGCAACATTCATGCAGCCATTACAATGCAATCTGCAACCAGAGATTCAAGAACCGAATAGAACTATGCACACAGACACAACCACTCGTTGCAAAACACATAGGAGGAACAATTCGCGCACAAAACGACCCCAGCCGCACCCGCCGCACAGACGAGGTACCTTTCATCGTCGCCTGCAGCCACTTTACACGGAAAAACACAAGGTTTCGTGCTCCGGCTTCCTCCGCAAAACATAGCCCATGCAACATTCATGCAACATTCATGCAGCCATTACAGTGCAATCTGCAGCCACAGCTTCAGCGCACAAAACGACCCCAGCCGCACCCGCCGCACAGACGAGGTACCTTTCATCGTCGGCTGCAGCCACTTTACACGGAAAAACAAGGTTTCGTGCCCCGGCTTCCTCCCCAAAACATAGCCCATGCAACATTCATGCAGCCATTACAATGCGTTTCGCAGCATCCCGTTGCAAACCCGCACCTATCTACGCACGTGGCAACATCAAATGGCAACAATGAAGCAGCCATTCCAATGCAATCTGCAACCAGAGATTCAAGAACCGCATAGAACTACGCACACAGACACAACATACCCCCAACTACTGCCGGGGGGGGTTGGTTTTTCATAATAGACCCCAAAATCCAAGGGTCTGAAATTGTGTGCTCCCAGTCTAGCCGTAACTTTTAGACCATGATCCTAGACCCCCCCCTGGGTATTCCAAATAGGGGTCTAACATCATGTGGAACAGGGTTATCATGATGCTGACCAGTGATGACAAGGGCGGGTAGGTTAAGAATAGACCCCCCAAAAAAAACGGGCCCGAAAAGATTTCAGACCCCATGTTTGGTGATCGATTTGTTTTCAGTGACCTTACAATGTCAGACCCCCTTTCTGGGACAACCAATCTTAGACCCCAAAGGTAAAAATTCCAAATTTGACCAATCCTTGTTTTACTGTTAACCCATCTCAGACCCTATCTAGGGGGTATAACGATTTCAGACCCCACATAATGGACCAACAGGGCACATCATCGCACAACATGTTTTTTTTCTGCGTCGCCTTGTCTTGTGGTCTTGTCTTGGAACTTTGCTCACCCAAAGCAATGTTCTGATTTTATCTAATTTTGGCATCTTGCCAAGGGTTGGCATGTTGCCAACTTTCACTATCTTTCCCTGATCTGCTCCAAGCTTTTCATGGAACACAGCATCAGCAAGGCGATGGCTCTAACTCTGCAGGTTCTCTTCGCAGCTCTTTGATAGAAAAAATAGAAGCGAATCCTGAAAAAACTTTGTCTGAAATTATAGATGGCTATTCATTGTTATTCATGGCCAAGGCACCTCGCCACGACGCACGAGTTATACCATTCAAACATGACAAAATGTCAGTACAATTCATCATATATAATATGACAAAACATTGCATCATTTCAAAACATGCAAGAAAAACAATGTAGGGCTCAAAAACAGGGCATAGGCTCACAACAGAGGGTCTAGGTTGGTCTTACTTTGAGGTTGAACCATTCTTTCAACAGCTGATGATGCAAAATACCATTTCAGACCCCCAATGAAACAAGAAAAACTGAATTCCACAGCTCAACCCCTGGCATTTTCTGTTGGGACTTTCAACCTGTTGGGACAAAAAAACATT